GCCTAGCAGGATGACACTGCAGTCAAGTAGTCACTTTTGTGGTTCGTGCTGTGGAGTAAATGACAGGAAGATAACCAAATCTGGGAGTCAGGTGCAGTTTCTCTGAGCTAATGGTGTTGAGGGTGAGGCCTGGTGCTGAGTAAGATCCACTGGGAAGAATGGTGTATCCGGGTGTGAGTGCAGCTGTGTGTGGACAGGGCGGAGGAAGCTGCATGGGGTGAAGACATGGGCAGGATAAAGAATGACAACTTTGGGCAACTAGGATCCAGTGAGGCTGAAGCACCAGGAGCTGTGGGAGAATGGAACAAGATGGCGCCGGGTGGGGGGGGCAGTCTCACAGGACTTTATCTCGAAAATGAGAATCCATAGAAGAGGTTAACATGGTGATGATAGGATCCATCAACTATGTGGAGACTGGCTGGGAGGCCCTTTCAGGGTGAGGAAGGGTGGCTGTTTGGGTTAGGATAACAGTCATGAAGGCGGGGAGGAAGAAGGAAGAGATTTAAGCGAAATTTGGGAGGTGGAATTGGCAGGAAAGGCGAGGAAGATCTCCATGATGACTTAAGCAACAGGGTGAGTGGTGAGATAGGGAACTCTGGTGAGAAACAGTTTGGAAGGAAGGGTCACAGTTTCACTTTAGGACAGGTTGACTTTGAGGTACCTGAGGATGCATCCATGTGGAAAGTCCAAGGCAATTAGTTTGTGGTGTCTGGCAGCTCGGAGGACATGCCATGGCCAGAAACAGAAAGGTAGAAGAGGCAGAAAGTAACCATAAAATCATCCTTCATGTACAGAGTATCGGAAGCATTTGGTTGGATTGTTTACCTGTCTTTCTTCCTACCTCAGTGATTCTCAATTTTGTTCTGCCCATTCCTGGACCACACGTGCATGGCTCGTCCCAGGAACGTCTCTCATCGTGTACAGAGATTCTCCCCTTTCTATAGGCTCCTTGAGAGCGGGAAGGTGTTCCTTACCTTTGCATCCCCAGGGTCCAGGACACATTTTAGAAACTCACTAGTTTTCTGATTGACAACTGACCAACAGATCACATGAATCAATGATTGCGTTGGAATCCATATAAAAGCACCAATGAGGGATAATGGTTGACATCAGTCTCGAATGTTGTAGTACCCATTGTTAGAGTTAAAATAATCTTTAGTTGTTTATAAGAAAAATACAAAATCAACAGGAGATCAAAATGAGGACAGCTTAAAAAGTACACCATTACGATATATAAATAGAGTATCACAAAAATTCAGTCATTTAAAAGCATTGTCTTTATCAGCTGAAAAAATGTCCTCTGGGAAGCTTCAGAGGGCATGTCTCAAAGGAAAATGGGTCATTGGCTGTCATATAACATGGAAGATCGTGGCTCAGCTTGGGAAGTCAAGAGAAGCTACCTCCCCCCTGTTTTTTTTTACATTTCCAGAAGGGTTAGTAAACTCAATCATTTCATCTTAAGTTGCACTGTTGTCTGATCATTTCAGTTCAATCTGTGGAGTTGGTTTCTACGAGGCATCCTCAGCAAAGCACAGCCCCAGGAGGAAAGAGAACAGGCTCTCGTCTGCTGTGGGCTTCGAGTGTCGAGCACCCCAGCTGTGGCACCCCCTCACCCCAAGGCTCCAGTGGGCCCAGCACATGGTTTAGCTTCTCGACACACTCAGGAAGCAAGACTTGCCCTCATCCATTTATACCCAAGTGCACAGTCTTCAGAGGTGAGTCTGAATTCCCAAGCAGGAAATCATGCAACAAATTAGGGTGAACGTTTCTCATCACTTCTTTGGGCGAACATAGTTTTATGTATGTTTCAGTTACAAGGGCAGGAAAAGGTTTTAACATTATTAGGCCCAAAGTGTCATTAAATATGAAAAATGATCCAACAAATTGTTCCTGCATGTGTAAGTGAACAAAGAAAGCAGATGTTAGTCCGTAGCTAGGAGGGAGAGGGCCATGGGCACAGTGAGGAAATATGACTCAGAAACAAGTGAACAGCTCTAAGGTAAGCAACACAAAGCAGAAACATGGACCTCAAGGAGAGGAAAAGTATAGAACAGGAAGGGCAGAAGTGGAGAATGTTATAAGGAGGATGTGGTCTTGGTTCAAAACTAAATGAAGTACCTATTGCTTTAAAAAAGAAAGTGAGGGGCGCCTGAGTGGCTCAGTCATTGAGCGTCTGCCTTCGGCTCAGGTCATGATCCCAGGGTCCTGGAATCGAGCCCCGCATCGGGCTCCCTGCTCCGCGGGAAGCCTGCTTCTCCCTCTCCCCCTCCCCCTGCTTGTGTTCCCTCTCTCTCTGTGTCTCTCTGTCAAATAAATAAAATCTTAAATAAATAGAAAAGAAAGGGAAAGAAAATCTGCTAGGCCTTAGTTGTGAGTGTCGTATTTAAAAGAGCGTATTTTTATACTATAACTTATAGAGGAAGAAGAAAGCTAGTGCTCGTGGTTGGCGTCTGCTGTAACTCAGGCAGAGCAATCCCTTTGCCTTTTACACGAAAGCCACTGTTGCTCACAGCCACTTCCCTGAATATGAAAGAGCGTCACTAAGTCAAAAGGGAGAAACACCAAACATCCACAAATAGCTAACTCTAGAACTACATGGAGGGAAAGCCTTACTGACTTAATTCCCAGAGCATGGACCTGTTCGTAGAGCAGACTGGTCACGCAACTGACCTGGATGAAGGGGCTCCTGGACCCTCATCTCAGTTATGCCGGCCTCATTCTGCTTCTCAATTTGGAAAATAACTGGGCTCTTCCCGTCTTTTATCGGGGCTACATGTAAGGGTTCTACAACACCACCTATAATGAATACAAGGTTGGCTCTGGGCTGGTCTTAGGACGGCAGCCAAACCAGAAAGGATGTGTGTGCTGATTTTATGCTCCAGCAGAGGGCAGTACCACATAAAAATTACTCTCAAGGAGACCCTGACCTGTACCATCTTTTGTCTATTACGGCAAATTTTCTATGTTGTTGAATGATTGTTCAACCACCAAAATGGGTGCCTTGTCCACACGGGGTATCTAGAAATATCAGTGGGCAATCCTGGCAAACAACTGAAGCCCTAACCATTTTAAACCTTACAAGTGAAGGAAAGCATGGCTTGTTTGAGTCTCTCTGGCGAGTCTTCCTCAGTGTGTGTCCTGCGTGTGTGTGGTGTTTATTGCAGCTTTCTTCCCCTTTCTCATATTTGCAAGCAAATACATTGGGTTCATAACATAAAGCGTCACTGTGTAACACTGCAGTATGCGAGTGTTATTTGAAAGACTATATCCTGGAATGGAGCTGAAGTGATTTCATCTAATAGCAAAAGGACCTCATCATAAGCTGTTTCATTCACAGCATGGTCAATTTAACCAAGATCCCTAGGAACACATAATGAGAAAAACTCCTATGTATTAATGAACTTACATTTTAACAGTTATTTCATCAATTAATCATTAAGTGATTTCCTTCCTTTCCACTCCCACTTTTGTGAAGTCTCGGCATATTTACGCTGTTACGGTATTTGTGCTAAAGATTTATTTATTGTAGAGAAAGAAAGAGAATGACTCGGGGGAGGGGCAGAGGGAAAGAATCTTCAAGCAGACTCCTGCTGAGCTTGGAGCCCCACGGGGCTTGATCCCACGACCCAGGAGATCATGAACTGAGTCAAAATCAAGAGTGAAATCAAGAGTCCAACACTTAACCGGCTGAGCCACCCAGGTGCCCCGCTGTTATTTATTTGCTGAAAATCAACTTAAAAAGTATTTGGGGTTATTATGCAATTGTGTTCTGGTTCTATTTCCGTTGAGGATTACTCTTTGATATGCCTGAATGCAACAGAGACAAAAGTCACCCTACATTTAATCTAGAGTCCGAATGAACTTGTATTTAAAAAAACTTTTGGCTAAATTTCTCTCTGCTAATATACTTCTAATAATTGAAACTTTTCATAAGGTAAATGCTAATTGATAAGAGATGTCAGTAGGTGCAAATAATGGTAGAATCAAATTCAAACAGTATGGTCATGTCAGCTCCCCCATTTAAAAAAACCCCGCCTACCCTGGCACTTCCCCCACACAATTATAAATGGGAATTTTAAGCTTTCATAGCCAGAATAGGAAATTATTAGCAATGAGGACTTTGGAAGCAGTGATGCCAAATGGGGAGATGAGGGGTGGGACTCTGTGGTCATGTGCTTTTCCTGGATTCCTGAATTTGACAGTAAAGGAACCCACTCCGCTCCACCCGTACCTGAATCCCCTGAATTCTGTCTTCACGTTTTTGATCTACCTCAAAGGTCAGTTCAGCAGACACTTAGGAACAATAGCCATGTTCAAGATACATATGATGGTAAGTTCCATTGAAAGTCCATTTTGAAGACGAACCATGAGAGACTATGAACTCCAAGAAACAAACTGAGGGTTCTAGAGGGGAGGGGGGTGGGGGGATGGGTTAGCCTGGTGATGGGTATTAAAGGGGGCACGTTCTGCGTGGAGCACTGGGTGTTATGCACAAACAATGAATCATGGAACACTACATCAAAAACTAATGATGTAATGTATGGTGACTAATATAATAAAATTTTTTTAAAAAAGTCTGTTTTGAGATCGAAAGTTTGAGTTTGGAAATCTGTCCCACAGAAGCAGTGCCTCCAGGGACCCGTGTTCCCAAACCAGCTTACAAAAAACGTTTAATTCAGGAATTTGTGAAATCTAGAACTGACAGTTCCAAAGAACCTAATCCCCACGTATAACTGTGTTTCCGTGGGAAAATTTTTCACAGTATTTCCCAGATTTAACGTCTGGGATATTAGGACCTTAAACATTTTTTAAAATTTGCAGCTGTGGCCCTACTGGATGGAAATTTAGAAGCGCCCCCCTGCCCCCCCCACTACTGTTCCAAGCCACTGAGGGGGGTCTGTGACCTGCCCTCAGTAGCTTGGAACGTGGCTTGGAACAGTGGGTTGGGAAGTGGGGGGGGGGTGTACCAGGGAAGTTGGTGAGGCAGCAGAGGAGGGGAGGGAGGGCAGGGTAGTGGGGTGGTATTATTCCAATCCTCTCCTCCCTCGGGTTGCTCTTTCTTCCCATTGCACCTCTGTTCTCTGTGAGCTGGAGGCAGAGGAATTCTCTGGAAATAAGGGAGACCTCCCCGCCCTCCCCACCATGGGAATGATGGCTGGGCATGGGGCTGCAGGGATCACCTGTTGTTGTGGGTCTCTGTCTGGGGGGCAGGGGTAGGCCTAGAGGCGGGGAGGAGGGAGGAGCCAGCTGAGGAAAGGGAGCCAAAGGGCTTTTCCCTCCCGTCTCCCTCCCTCTGGGCTCTCCCCACTGCTTCTACCCTGTCAGAGCCTCTGCAGCCTGGTGCTGAGCCAGGGTGACGAGTCTGCCAGGATGGAGATGGTTAGGAGGGTACTGTGCAAAGATGGAGTTCCCCAGCAGCACGGAGAGGGGAGGGACTTTCTGTGGCACTGGCCAGGCAGCGGTCAGCAGGACATTGGTCAGGCTGGGATCCCCTCCTTGTATCCTAAGGGTGGTGGGACACAAGGTGACGGCATCCCCTGCTGGGGGTCCATACCACGCCGCACTGAATAATCACAACCCTTTTCCCTAGCGTTGTCAATAACAAATACCGAAAGCTCCTCTATATTTTTCCCCAGCACATTTTGGGCTAACATATGGGGGGGGGCGTGTCGCGTGTAGCTTAATGAGAACATGGAACATAAAAATCAAATTCCTAGAAGATTAGAGCCCCTTTAATGAGTTCTGTATGGTGCCTGGAGCATGGCTGACAATAATTATTTAACGACCCCCTCACTGGACATCAACTGCTGAAAAACCTATTTTTTAAAATCTCCACATTTTATTACGGGCTGCTCCTTTAAATACATCCTGTGATAAACCTGACATTTATCTGATAAATCAGACAAGGGAAGATGAGCTGGGTGTGATGAACCCTGAAGGAGAAGTGATGAGTAAATCTCCATAGATTTTGCTAGTTTAGAGTTTACATTTGATAGCGAAGCTGACTGTATATATTAGCAACCTAATAAAACCCGCTAAAACTGTTCGTGGAAAACTACGTTAGTGGTTGAGAGAATAATTTTCTTTTGCGTTATTCCTAATCTTTTTTTGTACTCCAATCAATGCTCTTCATCATTTTTGCTTATTTTAATCAGGGACGTAGACAGAATCCCACCAAACCGAAAGAAGTGCCTTAGTTGTCTGAACCCACAGCCAAAACCAAATAGCGCTTTTATGAAATTGTCAAGCAAGCCAAGGCTTTGCCTTGCATCTGTTACCCTGTAAAAAATCGAGAATATCGGATCTCTCCAGTAACAAACCCTCCCATCCTCCACACTTTACCTCCCCTTAAGCCATCAAATAAGAACACCAGATATTGTTTGGACCCAATTTTTCATTTGGTTTAAAATCCTTTGAAGTTTGGATTTTAATACCGATTCCCGGTTCTTGGCTAAACCGCTATGTAGTGCTTGTTACAAGTGGCCCTGTTTCCAGTTGGGATAGCAGGTGCTAGAAGAGTGGTTAGGTTGCAACCATGGGCCAGGTGATGTTTATTTATTTCTTAACTGAGCTTGATCTCAGGCGTGAAACACTCAGCCTTATATAAAAGATGTAAAAGTAAACATTAAACTAATTTTTAAAAAGTCTTGGGTAACAAAGGGCATTTGGTGTACTCTCTTTGTCAAACACCATGCCCAAGGTCCTTATTCCCCCCGATTCCTGACTCTCTCTTCCCACCACCAATTTTGCATTTCTTCCAAAAATGCTTGAGCAAATGACATTTTTGATAGTGCACAGATTACCAAAGTATTTGTATAAAAGAGACGGCACATATGGTGTGAAGGTACGGCCCCATAACACCAATATCCTGCTACTTCACCTAAGCACTTTACGACCAAAACAGGTAACTTCTCTGTGCTGTTTTCTTGTCAGCTGTGGGAGTGCTGTCCATCCTGAAGGAGCCCATGGATGACGATCGACTGGGGCCATCAACAATCCTAGTTCTTATTTTAATCTTCCACAGCATTGAAGGGAGAGGATAATTTTATTTTCATCATGGCATGAATCCACTCCGATTGTAGACTTTGGCCCAGGCCCCTACAGGAGTCTACAAAGTATCTTTCCCGCTTCCAGGTTCAAATATTAAATTAAAACCGAGGTGCAAAACTAAACAAAAATCCGCCACCAAAACATAACCTACCCCTCCAAAAAAACCACCAGCTTTGGGGAAAACCAATGTCCACGGTTCCGTGTCCTTATCCTAAACTCTTAAAAAAAAAAAAAAAAGACAGATCCTCAACCTGTGGTTGTTTCAAGGTCCTGTGGCTGGCTCAAGGTCCAAAGAGGCCAGTACGAAGAAGCGGAGGTCTAGAAGTTCCTGGGGTGGTCTCCACGCCCCCTCTTGGGCCACTCCTCGTCCACCCACCTGTGCAGGACCTTCTCCACGTCAGCCCTGTGGTAGAATCTGCACAACTCCATCAGTTGGCCCACTGGTCTCTGGCTGTTCCGCAGCAAGAACTCCAAGGTGGGGCTCTGAGGCCTCTGCTCCAAGAAACACAGTTCATCATAGGGCATGCCCCATTTGCTGGCAAAATTCCTCCAGTTTTTTACTGTCGGGTGACATGGATCCAGCTTTATCCTGATGACGTCAAGCAAGTCCTGATCATTGAGTAAGTCACTTATGGTCGGGGCCCGGAGCGAGCAGGCGGGACAAGTACAGTTCTCCTTGCAGGACTCGCCTTTGCTTATATCTGCAGGAACAAGCAATACAGCCCACAGGTCAGCAAGAAAGCAAACGCATGCGTCCATCTCTCCCGTCCTTGATTTTCCTGCTCAAATGCCAAGAGCACCAGTGAGAGTGTAACACAGCGTAGCCTACAGATACTCATAGATGCTTTCAGGTTACTCATTTCCATAGGCTCACACAACGAACGTGGCGTTCTTGACAGCCAAGGGATGGGTGGCTTTGCTGGAAGCACTAGTAAGACTTTATACAGCCAGTTTCCCTTTCTTTCGGAGACTCCCTGAGTCTCACATTGGGCATTTGCGAGACTGCTGGCTGGAATTTGGGCTCCGAGGAGCACGGCTCTCTCTGGGGGCGGGTCCCTGGTGGGAGTCACACTGCACTGTCCCACAAGTAAACTAGCCCATACTTGCCTGAACCTCCACTCTTACCCCTTCCAAGTTACAAGTCGGCCCTGACGGCTTTTTAATGCCAAACACAGCACGTTGGGGTATAAAGGATTGCAAAACTCTTTAAAAGGCCTTCAGACACACACCCACATACACTGAAAACTGGAATATTCACTCCATATGCATATTTGAAACGGAGTGATAATTGATAATGCTAGAAAACTTACTTTTGAGATTTATGGCCACCTTATCATCCTTTGCCTTTATCTGTGTTTTCTTCACTCACTTCACTTCTTCTGCCTTTGAAGTAGAGCCAATACCCTGAGGTGTGCACCGTGGGATGGAAGAACAGGAGGCTTTTGAGCTGAGCCTCACCAAGAAGGGCACAGCCCCAGCCCAGAGGAAGGGCAAACATTCTTCCATCAGTCATCTTTAGCTTCATTTCAATGCAAGGAGGCATGTTGCAGGGTGGGGTGGGGGGGGGGAATGAAGGAGTCGGGAAGAAGTGCTCACAAGTCACTTATCATTAAGTTGCTAAGTGGTGTTTGCACAACATGGCAACCTGAGTGTCTTAACTTCTGCATCAGCACCGGGGCTCCTGACCCTTCTGACCAGGGATTTTAACAGCCAAAGGCTACACGAGAGATCACTGGCTTGGAAAATTCTGGGAGGTTGGTTACAATGACCTTTACTATACTGAGCCCTGGACTTCCCAATTTAGGAAAGGAAAGAATTTGGGAAAAAGGAGTGTCTTCGGTGATCTGAAGGTTGAGAACCAGCCATCCGGAGGCAAGCACAAACGACAAAATGACAAGAACCATGAAAATCCTGCTCCTACTCTTTGACCTACTAACATAACTTCTGGGAATCCAGCCTAAGGAGATAATCTAGAATATGTATACACATGAATGATTTTAATTACAGTCTTATCTTTATTATCCATTTTTTTAAATAAATGCCAAAGGTGAGGGACTAGTGGGATAAATTATTGTACTACTTGATGGAATTTTATTTAAGTAACTATGAAGACTAGGTAGCGACCCAGAAAACACGTGTGCTGTAATTTCAAGTGAAAAGTGCAAGATGTAAAGAATGTGCGTCCTTGACATTAGAAGCGTGAAAACTCTATAGTACGGAAGGAAATGCACAAAAATAGTAATAGCTATTGTCTTAATTCTGTAGGATTGTTTCTGTTTTCCAAACTTTCTCCAGTGGTGTTTAATTTCTGTGGTAACCAACACAATGTATTACACGAATAAGCACGCTCCCACCTGACTTTGAAGGTCACCTGGACCTCCTGTGGCTTCTAATGCCCCCCTCACCCCAGCTCCCCTTGGATACGGCTGCCTCTGGAACTGGGCCCAAGGCTCCTTTGCCCCTTTGGACACTGTCTATTGCACGGCAGGGTGCATCCTCCCTGAAGGTTCCTTCCGACAGCCGAGCCCCAAAACCCCAGCCCCAGCCCACCATGTCCCAGCTGCATCCCTCCCCCATCACCTGACGTGCTGAGATCCCAGCCTGTCTCGCTCCCTGCCAAGTCCTTGAGAGGGACAAGGAGGTGCTCCAGTTCTGTTCTTAGCCCGAAGCTTTCCCCTCCCACCCTCCCACCCTCCCTCCCTTTGGTCACCTCCTCTGCTCCCAGTGTTCCACCACACACTCCCACTAAAATGGAAGGCCCCTTCTTTTTGCATCTGTGGGACCCCCCCGCACAGCCCTTGACATACAGCAAATGCGTAAGCAATGTTTATTGAATGAGTGAGTGAATGCACGAGTGAACAAATGAGTGAGTAGCCCTGCTTGCTCTTCTGGGCTCCACAACTGAGCACTGGGAAGCCCCTCTTGATGTTCAGATGACATCTCCAACTCAGGGGACCTAAAACAGTACTGAAGTGTCTCCCCCTAAGCATCAAAAGCACCCTGACCCCCTACTGACACAGCTCCCTAGGTGTCCTTGTAGACTTTTTCACCGTATTCAACCAGTGACCACGTCGTGGCCTCCACTGGAAGCTCTCCATGCTACAATTCCTGTCTTCCGTCCCAGAACTTCCTTAAATACAATCTGTGCTCCAGACCAGCTGGACTACTCCATTCCCCGAATTTCATCCATCCTGTAAAGCCTACCTCAGATTAATTAAAAGAAAGACTAATATAGCGCAGGGTAGAAAAACTGGAAATTATATACCATTACAGATTTTGTATAAACTATTGAACATTTAGGGTTTTTTCCAATTCTCATGACTAAGAGGAACAATATGATGCAGACCCTTGCATATATATTTTTGGCCACATCTATACTCATCGTACCCAGTAATGGGATTTTTAGGCCCAAAAGTATGAGCATTCTAAGGCTATCAATGCATGTGCCCCAAAGTGCTTTCCAGAAATAAAGGTGGTACTAATTTACACTCCAACCAGGGAACAGTGATGCCGCTTATCTCACTTGACCTTTGTCAGCACCGAGTGAAAAATGTTTGTTGGTTTCACAGGCAGGAAAATTAGGCTTCATATTCTTCTGCCTCCACATGTCTTTGCTGGTGTTTTCTCTCTGATCAGTTTTCTCTCTTCTCCCCCTCTCCCTCTCGCAGGACTCCTTCTGCTGAACTTCATCCATCCTATAAAACTCACCTCAGATTCACCCCTTGCATGAAATCTCCCCGGCTGTGGCCCGGAATGCTGCCCCATTCAGAATCCCATCATTTTGTTTGTATTTCCTGACTCTCCATTGCGGTGAGATATTCTGCATGGTTTTCTTGTTCCTCATTACACCTTAAATGACCCAGAACAGATCCAGATCATTCTGCAGTGTGCTCTACATCTTAGAGTTTAAAAATGTTGCATTACATTTCTATGTAATATAGCCGTTCTTGAGCCATATTAATAATGATGCATTAAGAAGTAAAGCTTTGGGGCGCCTGGGTGGCTCAGTTAGTTAAGCATCTGCCTTCGGCTCAGGTCCTGATCTCAGAGACCTGGGATCGAGCCCTGCATCGAGCCCCGCATCGGGCTCCCTGCTCAGCGGGGAGTCTGCTCCCTCTCTCTCTGCCCCTCCCCTCTGCTCATGCTCTCTCTTTCTCTCTCTCAAATAAATAAGATCTTAAAAAAAAAAAAAAGTAAAGCTTTAGCAGCACAATGGGACAGAAGTCTATTTGTTTAAAAAATGAACTTTGTAATGGTAAAGGTGATTTTTTACTAAAAGAAAGGTATAAGGGAAATCCTGCAATTTTCTTTGCTTTTATTTAAAGGTAGGGTCAAATGAACAATATTCCATCAAATGGCCAAGAAAGCAGGCTACCAAAGAGTATGTATAATTCTGATTTTCTAAAAACAAACAATATAGTAGGGGCGCCTGGGTGGCTCAGTTGCTTAAGAGTCTGCCTTCAGCTCAGGTCATGGTCTTGGGGTCCTGGGATTGAGCTCTGCATCAAGGCAGGCTCCCTGCTCACTCTCTCAAAAATGAATAAATAAAATCTTTTTTAAAAAGACCAAAAGACAATATAGTAATTCATACCCATGTAAAGCATATATTATATATATAGTCACAGACAGAAAAAGTCTGGAAGCATGTATAACAAAAATGTTACCAGTGGATATTTCCTAATTTTTTTTTATAATGATTGTGTTTCTTTGGATACCTCAAAAATATTTTTTATATGTCACAGAAAAAGAAAGGAGGATTTAAATCTCAAAGTCCAGAATTAAATGTATTGGTGCCCAAGGGTGATCTCTGGTACCACCTTTGTAAGATTCATTGTTGGCAAGGTTTTCTCCTTTGGTGTCAAGACCACGACTAAAAATAATATAATAATAAATAATATAAAGAAGAAAGACATCAGTAAGGTTTCTGTGAAGCTCCTTTAAGCCCTCTAGTGTAAGAGAAGCTTTTCTTTGAACAATTACATTGACGATTTATTAATTTGTTTGAAAATAGATGATGTGCCAAAAATCTATCGATGTTTTCCTTTTGTATTTTCCGTGACACAAACCACAAACCGTTTATTGAATTGCAAGCTCCACGAACTGCCAACACTAGTGAATTTAGAGCTGCCTTTTAGAATCATAAACTATAATTAGCTCTCTGGCGGACTTAAGAGGAGAAACATGTTTTGTTTTGTTTTGTATCAAATATATTTTGTCCTGCCCTGCTTTAAACACCTATCATGTAATAGTGCACATAAAAGGCTAGGCTAGGTGATGCCTTGGGGAAGAAACAATTGTGGGGAGAGAGACAGAGGACCAAAGAAGCTTTCATCAGAAATGGGGAAAAATGGGATTATTATCTGATGCCTCTCAAAAAACAAGCAAAAGATTGCTGTACAGTTGAAGCTCAGAAATTGTTTGCCAGATGAATGAATAAGAACTATGCTTTCTCCCAGGAGACAAGGGACGCTTGTTACTTTTAAGTAATCTGTACACCCAGTGTGGGGTTTGAACTCACGACCCTGGGATCAAGAGTCACATTCTACCCACTGAGCCAGCAAGGCACCCCCTTAGAGACTTGTTATTATTGTTTGATGACTCTTAGGACTTGAAGAGAGAAAGTTAAAAGAAAGGGAAGTTTGCTGGTGTCTCCTGGTGATAAATAGATATTGGTGGAAAACAATACAGTGTTGGTTAAAAT